CTTCATTCACATATTTTTGGGATTTGATTATGGATGTCTTGCACATGTATAAATTTTTTACTATGTTCCTACTGCGCATGATCGTTGAGAAAATCTTCGTAATATGGAACCACCAAAATTCTCTCTATCCCGTTCTCTCACCAATGACGATACAGTTTCCAGTATTTTCCGCAAACACGTTCGCACACATTTTACTCTCGTACACACTCGTAATACAACTTCCAAACTAACAACATGTTCGTTTGGAATAAGCTTTTTTATAATAAAATATATCATTCATTTTAATTTTACAATTTTTTTTAAAAATTTTCATAACTCGACGTTTCATCAATTTTTTATTTCACTTTTATTTATTTTTCGTGCAATTTTGTGTTTTTGTGTTGTTTTTCAAAGTTTATTTGTATGGTGAGTTTCTTTACATTGTTTATTTTATGGTTGTTTTTCATATATACTTTTCATATACACTGTTTTACTTATTTTTGTCTGTTAATTATGTATTTTTTTTATATTGTTTTTAATTTGTAACCCTGAATTATTTAATTTTAGCACTGAAGATGGGTCAAATCCAGACCCGAAACGTATGTTCTCTATAAATAAAAACATATTTCATTAAAACTGTTTTTTAATTACTGGATGGATGCCCAAGAAACAATTTTATTATATTATTTCACCATCTGAAGAAAAACCTCTCGCTTTATATATATATATATATAATTTAATGTTCAATTGAAAATGGACATCGCGCTGCCCGATGTCAGGTTGCCAGAGCGGGGAATCGAACGCGCGACCCTGTCCATACAAAGTCAACGCGTTAACGATCTTGGCTACGGCGAATCCGTATCAATATATATATATATATATATATATAATATAATTTATTATATAATATTATGTAATATTATATAATTTAATATATTATATAAATATAATATATTTAAAATACTTTATTTAGCCATACGTTTCGGTATATATATATATATATATATATATATATATATATAGATTCTGGTAGTAACACCAAGAAAAAAACAACTAAAGTAGTTTTAAAATACTTTATTTAGCCATATACGTTTCTATAACTATATAGTTGTTCCACTGAATGACGGTCTCGAAGACCGAAACGTATGGCTAAATAAAGTATTTTAAATATATTATATTTATATAATATATTAAATTATATAATATTACATAATATTATATAATAAATTATATTATATTTTTTAACATCACAGATGGTAAAACACACTTATAAACATGATAACTTAACAAGTATCGAAACTATGTATTTACTGTTCAGAGTTTGAGATAGAAATTTCACATTTTTTCTTAAAGCAGTTTTTAGCATATGTTCAAATTACACGGGAAATTTAAAAAGCGATGGGATCTTGTCCTTTTTAAAGAAATTTTGACACGCTATAGCCCAGTCAAATTAAGTTTTCAGTTAGGAACAATTCGCATAGAGCTGAAATTTGGTGCAGATGTTAAATAGGCCATTACAAATGAAATGTCAAAAGTCCTCATCGATCCGACATCTGCGATTTTTTTTATTCAAGGTCAAAGGTGCAAAAATCTAGTTTTTCCCATTTTCCGCCGAAACCATAATTTTTTTTAAAAAATTATGTTAGATAAGTTTATTTATTATAAAATTCTCTATGAAATTGTTATTATTAATTTTTTTGTTAGTATCACCGTTTCTGAGATATTGCCGTTTGAAAAGTTGAAAAATTCATATTTTTCATAATATGCAGCTTTTAAACGTCATCAAATGTGTAATATAAGTAAAAAATATGAGTTTATTGGTTTCTGTTTAAATAGTATAAGTTTAATGAAATTTTTGAAGTATAAAACTATAGTGTCAGCCCCTAATTACCTTAGCTCTTGAGCAACACCTGCCAGCTATGTCATTTTCCTAGTGTGGGAGGGTCACATATACGACTGTTTTTGAAGCGAATAAACCAACTATTGGTGTACGGCATTTAAGACAAATTGCTGGAACTTCCCGTACCAAAAATTCAATTTTCCAAAAAAGATTGATTTTTGTGAATATTAAATTTTTGAGTAAATTGACTTATTTGAATTATATTTAGAAATAATTTGGAATTTTTGAACTTTTTTTTCAATGCAATATCGCTCCATACTTATTATTAAAATCTCTATAAAATATCTAATAATGTGATGCGCATATGTCTAATGATCATTTTTCACCGCCAAATGCCATTTTCTTCACTTTTTTCACATTCCTCAAAATTTAATCAGTTGTTCATTTTGTCAATACAAGTAAAATGTTTTTTAAATTATTGAAATCGTTTTCTTATCACTCCATTCTCTTCAAAACTGAATCACTATTTTTGGCACTTTTTGCCTCGTATCTTCGAAACGGCTTTGCCAAAAATTAAACAGCACTTCTCCTTATTAATATGAATCGAATGTTTTTTGAATCATTCAAATTAGATGAAACGTTAATAATTAAGTATACATGAATCAATGATGACAATCCGAAGTCATAATTTTTAATAACTGTGTCAATATCTAGTGGCAACATATGAGATAGAAGATGAAGTGTCTCCGCCAATTTCATATCATTATATGTTACAGTATGTCATTACTAAAAGACGAATGAATTTGTATAAGATATTTTGATCCAAAATGTCGATAAAAAACGTTAATTCTAATTACAATCTAGATGTAAGAAACCTAAGCCGAACAACAGCCCTTATACGATAGAATATAACATTACATATTATTATAAAATAACCCACTTTGAATCGTCGAATTATTAAATTTACTTACTTTATTTTACTTGCGTCAAAAAATATATAAATATTTCTGGAACATTGCTATTGATATTTTGAAACATTCCACTCGCAGTTTACATTTTTTAATTGTTTTATCGCTAAAAAATAAGCAGTATTTTTTAGAACAAAAATTGATTTAAATTTAAAAAATCGACAATTCAAATTGGATAGTTTTGAGATAATATGTAGAATTATATTCCACTACTGTCCGGCTGTTGTTCGTGTTTTGTACCTTATATCAAGATTGCAATTGGAATTAACGTTTTTTATTGACATTTTAGATTAAACCATCTTATACAGATTTATTCATTTGGTAATAGCATATTGAATCATATAATGATACAAAAATGTATGAGGTTAACGACAGTTCATCTTCCATCTCATATGTTGACACTGGATATTGGCACATTTATTCAATATTATGATAAAAATTTATTAAATATTGTGATTTTGGATTGTCATTATACGCCCTGAATTCATATATAATTAAATATTTCGTTTATTCGCTTTAAAAACAGTCGTATATGTGACCCTCCTACACTAGGAAAATGACATAGCTGGCAGGTGTTGCTCAAGAGCTAAGGTAATTAGGGGCTGACACTATAGTTTTATACTTCAAACATTTCATTAAACTTATACTATTTAAACAGAAACCAATAAACTCATATTTTTTACTTATATTGCACATTTGATGACGTTTAAAAGCTGCATATTATGAAGAATATGAATTTTTCAACTTTTCAAACGGCAATATCTCAGAAACGGTAATTCTAACAAAAAAAATTTAAAATAACAATTTAATAGAGAATTTTATAATAAATAAACTTATCTAACATAATTTTTTTAAAAAAATTATGGTTTCGGCGGAAAATGGGAAAAACTAGATTTTTGCACCTTTGACCTTGAATAAAAAAAATCGCAGATGTCGGATCGATGAGGACTTTTGACATTTCATTTGTAATGGCCTATTTAACATCTGTACCAAATTTCAGCTCTATGCGAATTGTTCCTAACTGACGGCTATTTTAGCTTTAATTTGACTGGGGTACTATTAAGGAACCATGTGTTAGTCTCGTTTAGGGCCGTATTGTCAAAACGTTTGTTTATGACTTTGTCGTTATGTAATTGTAAAAACAACCCCTCAGCGAATCTTCTTTTAATTACGTTCTCTTCAAAATGTAAAATTTTAGATTTGAAAAAATCTATTTTATGGTTTAATTTAACATGATCAGTTAACATCGTCTTATATTGTTTAGGTTTTTTGGAGTTATTTTTATGTTGATGAAGGCGTTTACTCAGGCTTTGGTTAGTTTCTCCGATATAAAAAAGTTCGCAATTAGAGCAATTAATCTGAAATACGGTATTAATTTTGTCATCGCAGTGAATAAGTAATTAAAAATGTCTTAAGTCGCGATGAAAACTATTTCTCTGAAAATAGTTATTAAATTGAAAAATTATCGGTTAGAAACAAAAGTTAATGAAACACTTTATGAAGTTTAAGCCACTAATTTCAAGTACGTGATATTATTCGAGTAATAGAACTTTGAAACCCAACCTTGTAAAATAGTGAAAATTGACTTAACCATTTATTCACTGAAACGACAGAATTACTAATTTATTCCATCTCCAAAAACTAGAAAAAGATCTATAAATCGATCTAACGAATGCAACGCATCTATTGCTTTTTTTAATTTGCTTTTATAAATATAAATATAAATAAATATAAATCTGTCGTTATTCATTTCACCAGTAATTTTGGTGGATTATTATGTAAGGAAAAAAGGTCAAAAGGTCACCCAGTGGTAGGTAATCCGTTTCGCTGTCGAATAATCTATTGCAAATACACGAAAATGATTCACCGCGATGCCAATTTTCTCGGAGTAATAGGTATCCACCGTGGATATCTTTAATATTTTTGTCTTGAGAATGTTGTTTAAATGTCCGATATATGAAAGATTTAACGCATTTTGCGCATACCTTCGTCATAGAAAAACAATAAAGAGCTTGTATGTACGCAAAAAACTCTATCGTTCAATTGAAGTTTCAAGTTCCTTTCAGGAACCGCATCGAATTGAACAGTAATTAGTTTATTTCTAGACCTTTGCGATTAATTCAACATAATAGACCAATAGTGCGTATCAAAAATTCTGAGAAATAATTAAAAAAAAAACATTCAATATATCACTACATAGATTTTTTTATTACCTCCGTTAATGATTTCCAGTGAAACATGAGAGATAATTTAAAAAGAGCAAAAGCTACAGGAATTTTTGCATCAGTACTGGTTTCAGCTGCGAGATCGTAACATCTTTTTGCAAGATGAGTATCTTTGGCCATACCAAGACCTTGCTCATGCATATATCCTAAGTTGAACATGGCTTGTGCGTTGTGTTGCTGCTCAGATGCCAATCTAAAAATATACAGTAATTGTTTTAGGATTAAAAATAGAGTTATGAATTACCATATAATATATTAAACAATATAATTCTTATTCGAAAATACTTATTATATGGTTAAAACCCCTACTAAAGATCAACATTTTGGCAATCATTTCAGAAAAACTTGAAACATTTAGAAATAATAAATAAACAAATCGCATATTTGTCGAAAACAAAAATGACTCAAAACTCAGAAAGTTAATAATAAAAATAAAAAAAACGGAAATTTATTATTAATTAAATTAATTTATAGAAATAAAATATTTTAACATTCCAAATCAATTTTAAAAGTTACGAAACACAGATATAGGTACCGATTCTGCCGCAATGTTATGATAAGTTCATGTTATGAAGAATTTTTCATAGTAATATAGACAAAAGTTATGCGGTTGGTGTTCAGTCAGGCGAATTTCTCAGGTTTTCTCATACAAAACATAACCTAAAAGCCGCACAAATGTCAAAAAAACGATGTTAGATAAGTGCGTGTTTCTGATTCCTCTTAGGTAAGATACGAGTGACGTTGCAGTTTATGTTTAAAACGCCGGAATGAACAGCAAATACATGATATTTTGACAGCATTCAATATGATTCATTCGCATAATGTATGGGGAGTTAGAGCGTAACATAGCCATCCGTAACATTTCTCTGTTATGCGCAGAATCGGTCGCATAAATATTATTTGTCAAATTAATTCATTATTAAATTCCGAAAGGAAAAGTTTATAGTACAGAAGGCAGCAACGTTTTCAAAACAAAAATTTTAGGCAGGCTTTTTTTTGGCATGTGGTCCTTGGTGGTCTCTCGGTTAGAGTACGGGCCGTCTGGCAGCTGGAAGTGGTTGCGTTTATTAGTGCGCAGCCAAATTTACAGCGTGATTTCAAAATTTTGAAAGCATTTCAGTTAGTTCAATTTTCATTTTTTTGACTTCGACTAGATTCACCAGCTCACATTTTTTGTTGCCAGACATTTTGGCGCTGTTAAATATGTGCCAGACGCCAGTTTATTAATTTTTCTTAAAATTCAAATCATTTTATTCTGTCTGAAATTTTAATATTATGTTCGTTAAGGCTAAAAACACATACAATTAATTTGCCAGACGTTTTTGCGGTTGTTAAGCATAGACATGTTTTACAACATCTCATTACAACGGCGCCATTTCTATATATTCTCTTCACTAGTGATTTTCCAACTTTTCTATGTGGAAAATCACTACAAAATACAAGGTAAAAATTCGGGACTGTCCCGGCCAAATTGGAACGAATGGTCAATTTAATAAAAAACGTACAATTGAAAAGCGGTAGCAATTTGAAGACAAAGTGAAACACACCTACCTTTTAAATGGAGATCAATCAAAATATTTAATTAATTAATAATATAATTTATATAAATATAACTACCTAAATTGCACTAAAGTTATATATTAAGTAATATATTATTCCAATAAATTTGAAAATAAATATATTGATAAAGCGTAAAGTTCCAGTGTTATACAACAATATGAGATAAATACGTTTGATAAGCAAATGAGATGTTTATGTTTGTAGGAAAAAATCCAATTTGATCATTATGTTTTCTCGACGCTCAAATCATTTTTAATGATTTGAGACTAAATCTGAAATGTATGTGTGTATGTATCTATGACCGAATATGCATATGTGTATGAAAAAAAAAATACAATTTTTAGTCCACTTTTCAGGACAAAATCGTGTACCGGTTTTAAAAATTAAAACCCATTGGAAAAGTTAGTTTTGTGTTAAATATTTTGAATTGATTTAAAATACTGCTTAAGAATACGATAAGAATCAGTTTTTATGTGATTGAAATGAAACAATTCTTTTTAATCCGAATAACTGACTTTGAGTAGGGACCTTATTAGTCGATAGTATGTTATTTATCTTAAGGTTTTCGATCTATATTTGTTTTTGCTTTCAATCCTTGTATTAAATTCTGTTTTTTTTTTCAGAATTAGCTTGTTGTTAGCATAAAACTAGCACTTTTATTTTCATAAAATTGTGCCACTTTAATTTTCATATAATTAAAAATAAAAGTTCGAAATTATTAATGTGAGAGATCATTTAAACACGTCTTTGAAAATTTGCATTCGGCGGTTTTTTTATTCATAGTGTATTATTTTATATTAAGCATACTCGTTGAATATATTTTTTAAATTTTTGATGAGTAGTTGTGATTGTATTATCAAGTAAATGCAAATATTCAATTTAAACCCAGGACAATTTGGGACAAAAAATCTAAATCCGTCAAATATTGCTTTCTAATTTAATACTATAATAACAGAAGATGCTATCATAGGATAGCTATCCTTCACACGCCATCATATTAATAACAAATGTCTACAATGGTAGCTGAATGTACTTATTGTATAGTTTGCTATGAAGAAAAAAATATGTTTTCAGAAAAATCCAAAAAAGGAGATATTCGAGACTGTCTCGGCCAAACCGAAACGTATATGTTCAACTTAATTATATGTGGTCGACAATATATTTAATAAAAGAAAGATTCAAAACTTGACTACTTAATGTATGGCTTATAGTTATAGTCATTCTGTAAACGTTATGTTTTTTATGAAAAACCTAGTATTCATCTTTGACCGGAAATTAATACTGATACTATAAATTTCCTTACCTATATGAACTTCATGAACGTCACTAGAAAAGGCAAATGACATAATCGCTCCAATCTCCAGTGTAATAATCATTTATATATACCGTTAAATATATATAGACTAACGCTAATTAAAAATGCTTGTGCTGTTAATTCATGTAATCTGGTATAACTGGAACTGATAGAAACTAATATAAACTAATATTTGATATTATTTAAATGTTAGCATATTTACATAAATATTACTTATAAAGTAAGTCATGATATTGTAGAAGTTTGTTCGGCAACCGTAGATTTTATCTCACAATTTTGTGGAATTATTTGAAATGAGTATTTCTTAATTTTCTTTTGCATGTCTTATTGAAGATCATACATTTAGATTATATTGAATATATCTTTTTATCTGGTGAATATTGATCTTCGTTCCGAATTGGAAGTCGGAACTCTTCTGTCTGTACTCACAAACGCCACAGGTGGCGTGATGGTGAGACTTGATTCTCTAGTTTGTATTTCATTAACTTCGGGTTCATTCGGATTCGGGTTTGCGTATACTGTTGTCCCTGCTGTGAAGTAGAAATAGCCCAGAAAAAATATGAGAAATGCCGCCACAGCAATGACAGCACCAATTGGCGTTAGAGGAATCATATTGGGCGCACAACTTTTTTTAAATTATTCAATCCATTTTGCCTTTATCAAAACTTCTTTTAATATGAACTGCGCTACTCAACAGAATTGTACTATAGATATATTGTAGCACAATTTGAATATATCTAAAACCTCGTCCATTCGATGATATAGTCACAATGAACTCCTTATTTTTCTTGATTGAAAATGATCAGTATTCTTTTTAAAGATTATGAGTTAACTGTTCTACGTTTGTGCTATACATGATTTAAATATTTTTAAATATTTTACTTGAAATTTTGATTATTTGAACTAAAATGACAGTTCAGTAAACGGATTTTTTGTTTTTTTTTATATGTTATTATTGACAAGCAAAAGTGCTAATCATAATGCGCATAACATTGACAAGCAAAAGCGCTGACATAATAAAAATTATTAGTTTTTAGACACTGTATAAATACACAATACTCTATAGATTTTAATTAAACCTTAATAAATTTTTTGATATTTAAGCGAAAAAAAGTAATTTGTAATTCAAAATAAAAAATTTGAACAAAAATCCATATTTGCTGCAACTAGTCTACCAGTGTTTTTTTCTTCCGGTCTACCTGCCTATATGACTCACTGTATACCTCTCCACCTGTCTACCAGTTCACCTGTCAAACAATTTATAAGTCTATCAATTTACCTGTCCACCAGTAAACCTATCCACCAGTATACCTGTCCACCAATATATGAGTTCACCAGTATTTATATCCACTAGTATATCTGTCAACCTATTTATCAGTCTGCTAATTAAGCTATCCACCAATTTACATGTTCAACAATTTACCTGTCTGTCAATTCACTCTGTTTATTAACTTACCTGTCAACCCGTTTTACATGTCTACCAATTTACCTGTCAACCTGTCTACATATTTGTCTATCTACCAGTTGTCCACCTGTTTGTTACTTGTCCACCAGTTTACTTATCTACCAGTTCATCTGTCTATGTACCTATCTATCAACATGTTTATTTGTTTACCTATTTACCTGTCCACCAGTTTATCTGTACATCATTTTACCTGTCCATCGTCCACCAATATAACTGTCCACCAATACACCTGTTAACCTGTTTATCAGTCTACCAATTTAGCTGTCCACTGATATATCTGTTTATCAATTTATCCGTCCACCAATTCACTTATTTACCAATTTACCTATCAACTAGTTTATCAATCCACCATTTTACATGTCAACCAATTTACCTGTTTACCAATGTACCGTACCTGTCATCCCGTTCTACATGTCTACCAATCAACCTGTCAACTTGTTTATCTGGCAAAAGCCCAGGCAAAAGACCAGCCTGGGATGCATAAAGGCATTACCTTCGCTAAAAAAACACACACACAGGCAGACATACGTCCATTTTTATATATATCACTTTACTCAATAAACCCGCAAGAGAACCAAGAAAAACCAATTTTTTTGGCATAATTCTTTTTTTATTCAATATGGTTTTCTTCGAAGATGATATACCGATTATAGCAAACTTCGAACTTTTAAAAAAACATTTTTGTAGTACGATTAGCCACAAAATTCGGCTATGATCTCATCATTTGGCAAAAATTTCTTCACAGCGAGATCTTTTGAGATCTGAGAACAGGATATGGTCGCTAGGGAACACATTTAGAGAATATAGTAAGTGGAGAAGCAATTCGGAGGCCAATTCATATTTTTTTGCCACTATTTTTGCGGAATGTGACTTGGTTCGTTGTCAAGATGAAGTAACGCGGTTTTATTTTTCAAATGGGGCTGTTTTTCCGATTTTGTTCTTCAAATTCTTCAATATCATTATACAATAGTCACTGTTGATTGTCTGGCCTTTCTCAAAATAATTGATAATGATCATTCCTTGCAAATTCCAAAAAACTGACGCCATTACTTTGGCTGCTGATCGTTTGCATTTTTTCTCCTCATCGTGTCTAGTCTATTCGGCTGACTGTCTATACGACTCCGGAGAGTAGTAGTAAGGTCAGGTTACATCCATGGTAACATATTGATGCAAAAAATCAGTTTTATTTCGATTAAACAGCTCGAAATATTTTTCCAAATAATCAACTCGTTAAGCTCTTGGTCAAAGTTCGTGCGGCAGCCAATTTAAAGAGAGCCTTTTCATATTCAAATATTGGTAAATGTCACGTCCTTTACATTCCATTGTTAACTTTAAGGTGTCTCTCATTGTCAGACAATTTTACTTTTTTGATTTTCAAAACGATTTGCTGGATTTCTCATGTTTTCCGGTGTAACCACTACAATTGGTCTTCCAGAGCGTTCAGCGTCGTCACTGTGTGTATGGCCACGATTAAAATCAGCAAACCACTTCTTCGCGGTTTGCCTCGATTTTGCAGAGTCCATATAATACTTTTGAAGCAATATTTTGGCAATGCCAGTATTTTTTAAAAGGCAATGATGAATCAACCCACAAAATTGCTTTAAATTCATGGTTTCAAAAAACCATGTTTCAAATTCATGGTCACTTGAACCTAGATCACTTGTATTCATGAAATTTATACATATATCTTCTTAAAGTTGTTGCTTCCTACAAATCATATGGATGATTACATAGCTAAATCATCTATGTGTTATCTTACGGACTTATTGAGTCACGTAATAACTGGACCTTTATAATAATTGTACTTTGAGTTGAATGTGTAAAATGTTCGGTTTGTGTTTCAAAAAAATTAAAGAGCAGAAACTCTAAAATGATCAAAAAGTATGTCTCGATGTCCCTTTAGATAGGCAACTTTCATTATATTAGAGGTTATATAGGTTATATTAAAGCAACATTCTGATAGGCAACTTTTATTTAAGAGTTTTGGTAACTTTATAAATTACAACTATGGATAGTGGTATGATTACTAAAGATTTAGAAATAATTTCTAACCAGAACCAGGCGTCTTATATCACAAGACTTTTTAAGAAATTGCATTCTTCAAATCTAAGTTCTAAATTAATCAATATAGACATACGGAAATTATATTAGTAACAAATGTTAGTTAAAACAGATCAAATGTGATTTCTAATAGCTGCTGTGATTAGGCATAAAAAAATTGAAGTTTGGTTATGATGACAAAAGCTATATTTAAATCATAAATTTTGAATATTCTTGAATTAGATAATTTTCATTAATATTACGTCTTTATGACTGTAATTTAAATTATTCTAGTACGTAGTTTATTCCAAAAAGATAATTTCATTTTATTATATTTACTAATATAATAACAATCTATATAATAAGTACTCAAGACATTCAGTGACTTTTCCGAGATTAATAACAGAATTTTTCTATTTGTGAAAAATAAGAACTATTTAATATATTTGACACAGTTTAATAAAAATATATACATAATTTATAATAGTAAAATGAAGGACAATAGTAGTAAACATAATTAGATATCATGACTTTTATGAGCAAAAAAAATAAATTAAGAATTATATTCTTATAAAAAATACATAAAAGATATAAATATGTTACCTATAATGTGAAGCAGCCATTTCATAATCAACAGGAGTTCCTAGACCGTAATAATGATAATCTCCTAATTTTACTTGAGCCGTGGAGTAGCCTTGCGCAGCTGCGCGGCCCCAATAAAGTAAAGCTCGCACAAAATCTGCTGAAGACCCACCGAATAGAGATACTTCACCTGAACAAAAAGCAAATGAAGTTGTTGTAAAAATGCGTATTTTATTTATTTTACAGAAACTGTGAGAATTATTTAACAGAATTATGTTAGTTTAACGTAAACATCAAATCACTAGTTTTGAGGTAAAGATCGAACAAATATTTATTTTATCTATGCTTTTAATAATTGAAATTAGTTACCACCTTAATTCTTGATTGAAATAGATGAAAGCCATATTCCTTTTTTATGAGCATGGCATGTAACACTCAATAAATAGTGTACAATATATATGCAATATAAATAGTGTAGTGTAGTAACAATAAAAGTGATGTAGATATGATAATGTAATTCAGGCACATGGTCTAAATTATCACCGGTATTAATACCGGTATTTAAATTAAAAATATCGTTACTGAAACATATGAGCGCTATTTGATACAAACATGTCACATCTGAGTTTGAGTTAATTTAATAAGACATATATTTCAATAATTATGAATGTGTACATAACACTTCCAATTTTGTTCGGATTTCTACCCGCAGGTATGTATATCATTCCTCATGTCTGTTCTATCAATACAATAAGTATTTTAAATATAAAAGGTGTGATACAATTGTGTGACATAAAAGGACGAAAGGAAAATTTTCCTCAGAAAAAGAAATCACATAATAATATTTATAATAATAAATGATTATACAAAAAAAGAAAAACAAAACAAAAGATTTATTCGGTTTGAAGGAAAATCGGTAACGAGCCAAGTATAATATCATCCGCTGCTATGGGTCGATCAGTATATAGTTTGGCATGGCATGGCGTGTTTGCAATACCAAACTAAGTCTTCAGTAAACTGGCCGAGACCCGCTATGGATCTTTAGCCCGTTCTATTGCTAGAACTTCCCGCACAAAAATTAATAACAATTGTTTTAAATATTAAAATAGATAATCATAATTACTATATATGTATTCGTTCATATAATATACATTGACGATCTTATCGCTCACAACAATTAAAAATGTTCACATTAAGAAAAGATGCCGAATCAATCCATCTGAGGATATATTTCTTACGATTACAATAACGTATATGAAATATATACATTTTAACTTCCCAAAGGAGAAGTTTTTGTTTTCATAAAAAAATCCGATTCGCCAATTTTAAGTTTTCTCGACGTTTCAAGCCATTCTGAATCTAATGAGACCAAATTTGGAAAAAGTATGTGCGCGCGCGTGTATGTGAACAGATATTTTGCCATAAATCGACGTTCTCTCAAAAACGACTCGACCGATTTCAAAAATTTAAAAGCCATTCGATGTATCTTGATGAGGACTACTGTTTATAGTTTATAGTTTATAGGACTTTAATGATTTAGTAAGTTTATTAAGACCAAGTACTCTGTCGTTATACCAAGTAAAACGTCTAATTTTAATTTTAACAAACGTCAAAAAAACTACTCATTTTCTAAAAACTTAATAATAACTTAATAAATTTTTGAAATTAAACTACTTGTCGTAAGGCCGTAATATTTCAGGAAGATCTATAAGACCATGATATATATCGCCAAAAAAGTTCCATAAATATCGACTAATTTTTTTTTCAACAGTTAATTACAAGAAAACGAATCGGGAGATTTTCACCCGTTTTTAGATTTAGAAAAGTTTAACACATTTTTCTAAATTACAAAGAAACGGCTCGGCTGATTGTCGCTCAAAAGTGAGCAATGATAATCCTCATCGAGATACATCAAATGGTTTTTAAATTTCTGAAATCGGTTCAGGCGTTTTTGGGCAATCAAATTTTGACAAATGCAAAAAAAAACGATGCTAAATTTTGCAAACTTTGACGAATTTTTAAAGCTAAACGAGTTGTCGTAGGGTCGTAATATTTTAGTATGATCTAGAAGACTATGGTATCTATTATCAAAAAAATAATAATAAAAATCGTAGTAAAAATTTTTTTAACATTTTATTACAAGAAAACGGGCAGGCCGATCTCTACCAAAAACTAATCAGATCGATTCCCAAGTTCTATCAAACGGTTTTTGAATTTTCAAAATCGATTCAGGATTGCGGGCTAAAACGGGGACGAATTTTTATTCACATTTTTTCTATTTATAAAAAAACGGCTTGGCCGATCGTCGCGCAAAGCAGTAGTCCTCATCGAAATACATCGAATGGCTTTTAAATTTTTAAAATCGGTCCAGCCGTTTTTAAGAAAACGTCGATTTACGGCAAAAAATCTGTTCACATACACGCACACACACACACACACCCACATACTTTTTTCCAAATTTGGTCTCATTCGATTCAGAATGGCTTGAAACGAAAAAACAAAGTTAGAGAATCGAATTGTTTTATGAAAACAAAAACTTCTCATTTGGGAAGTTAATTACTAACTTATTTTAATGAAGATGTGATGAACATAAAATATTATAATAAATACATAATAGTTCTTAACAGTTCACACGGGTAACAAAAACAATCAAGAAATTTGGAAAAGCACATTAATATATATTTATATGTGATGAAAAAAATTCGTATGATAGAGGACAAGTAATAAAATTTTGAATAAATTCAACTCACCTCTGTCAAGCATGTGTGCTGCATTGCTTTGAGCGACTTCGTAGCCCAGCTCCGCAAGCAAAGTATAATGCAAGTATGATGAATCATACTCTCGAACTCGATGAAGACTATGGGCTTCCATCAGTCGTTCACACCAGCGACCCCTCTCAGCAACATTTTTAAAAAGCTTTGACAAACACGATAATATTTCAATTAAATTAAATACTAATATAGAATTATTAATAAAAAATACGAATAAAGTATTAATGTCAGACTTAAGAACCAAAAAAATGCGAAGGGTCATCTGTATATTTAAGGTGTATTTTTTAGTTTTTTAAATATCTTCTTATTGACATTAATTGACTTGTAAGCCCATACAGGCTGTATGGGCTTACAAGTCAATTAATGTCAATAAGAAGATATTTCAAAAACTAAAAAATACACCTTAAATATACAGACGACCCTTCGCTGTATGATACAGCAGTGGCATTTTTGTGGAAAACACTGATGTGGCAAATTGGTTTAATTGGTATGAACAAACTGATTAATTTAATTGAGAACAACTTAACAATTTCAATATGAATTTGGACCTAATGGTTAATTGAAAAAAAGTAAGTTATTGGGATATTAAAATGTAATTTTAATTGTAATAATAATTGAGAGAATTAAGCATCCGATTTATTTAAAAAACTTTCTGCTTGTTTTGACAAAATAATTTATTTTAGATTTTTTTTTGTATATCAATAATAATTAAGATTTTAATTTTAATTCTGGCTAAAGTTCTAAGGATCACTTGTATACTCTAAATAAATAATTATAACTGTGTAATTCAATTTATATAATTGTTATAAATTTTAAACAATGTTACAGTATTTATATTAATCAAATTCATTTGGGTGCACGGATAAACCGATTTGAATGGCTCAAAAAACATTCGATTCCCATTGATAGGGAGATGTGCTTATTAGTTTTTGGCAAAAGCAGCTTCAGCCGTCACGGAGATTCGGAGCAAAGAGTGCAGAAAATAGACAAGTTTTTGAGAGCATGGAGCATCCGATTTGAATGATCCAAAAAACCTTCAATGTGTAATGCCGAGTAGAAGTGGTGATTAGTTTTTGAGCAGGTCTAGCCGTTTTCGAGATACCGAGCTATTTAGCAAAAAATTGCAGGTTTGGAAAGAATTAAGCATCCGAGTTGATTCAAAAAACTTTCTGCTTGTTTTGACAAAAAAATTTATTTTAGATTTTTTTTTTTGTAATCAATAATAATTCAGATTTTAATTATAATTCTGGCTAAAGTTCACTTGTATACTCTAAATGAATAATTATAACTATGTAATTCATTTTATATAATTGTTATAAATATTAAGCAATATTACCGAGTATTTTTATATTAATCATATTTATTTGGAAATATTTAATATTCCTCAAACATTTCGTTACGGTACGAAAAGTTCCAGCAATTTGCCTTAAGGCACGATGCAATACACCGCTAGTTTTGTTTTAATATTAAATACATTTTTGTTATATAACTATTTCCATATATTAATTAGTGGTCCCATTTTAGTGTTTTGTTTTGTGTGTATAATAAGTTACTATATACTTCTTTATATTTGCTGTTTTTACATCTATATATTTTAGATTTATATTTCATATAATAAATCTTTGTCGGTTATGTTTTTCATATTACTTAACATCCATTGTCATAATTATTGTGGAAATATGTAATTTTTTATTGCTTTATATATTTTTTAAAGGGTAGTACTGAAGATGGGTCAAACCAAAACTCGAAATGTATACTATTCTAATAAAGACATTCTTCTTTATTAAATTGTTTTTATTATTGGATGGATGCTCAAACAAACACACACACATAATATATCTTATATAGAAAAATAAAGCTCTCGATAAACGCTAAATCTCGAAAACGACTAAACCGATTTGGCAAGTCTTAGTCTTGAAAAATTCATGCTAATCTGTAGGTTGTCGGAAAGGTGAGATACAATTTCAAAATCGTGTAGAAACTTTACATTTTTAATTTGATTTTTTTTGTAGAAGCGTAATTTGAATAAAATAATGAACGGTGGCTAATATGTCAAATGTCAAACGTTTTTGATAGATAATATTCAATTATGTTTAATAGTATGTTTTACCAGTGGCGGATCCAGCTTCGGCGCCAGGGGGAGGGGTCATAATTGAAAGGGGTTATAATACACACACACACACAAATATATATATATATATATATATATATATATATATAAGAGAGCAGGGCTTAAAGATCCGCGGCTAAAAAGGTCCTCGACCGATATCTCAATGACAAGGAAAGTTAAGGATTTCTTTAACAACAATATTTGAAAGTAGAGGGAAAAAAAGTACAACCAGCCATCACCTTGATACTTACGAAGTTTAAAAAAGCATTTTTACAAGCATTTTTACAAAAGCATTTTTATTTATTGCAACTCTGCTGGTGAATATTTTGGACAAAATATCAAATCAAGGTTATATACAGAGTTATCTCTGTAAAAAATGTATCCATAAAATTTATATTTTGCATTAGTTGAATAATGTAGCTAATATTTCGTTAAATCGTTAAATTGTTTGTCCTCTCGCCGACCGATTTTACCCCGCCTATGGGACAAATTTTTGAAAAACAGCAAAAAACACATTTCTACAGTGAATTAGCTTGGGAGTTGTGCTAAACATAGTCAGATAGTTTTTTGTTTGATGTGATTTGTTGCTCAAAGATAAGTTGGATCCGCCTATGTGTATTTTATTTTAAATTATCTACGTCTTTGACGTGGGTCAAATTTTGATCTTTCTTCGACGTTTTTTCGTCTGAACCAATGTTAAAATTTAAAAACTATAAAATGAAACTGGATAAGCGCTTGCGTTGATTAGATTTTGAGACAATTGTTTGATCCGTTTCTTTACTATTGGCAGAAAAGTGCAAAAATTATCGTCCATGTTTTTGTCAAAAATTCTTAACCGTTTTTGCAAATTCAAAAACTATTCGATTGATATCATTTGGAATTAAATGGTTTTTGGCGAAGATCAATCAAATCGTTTCTTTTTCATAATATATTGTCATTTTTTTTTGCCTTTTTCTGAAACTTTGCATGGCGATAGAGTTTCTGTTCTAAATGAATGTACTAAACTATATTAAGGCCTGCGACAAGTGGTTTACTTATGATAATTAAAGTTTGGATTATTTGGCCGCGCTTTTAGAAAATTCACCCTATGTATGTATTCGGCTTCGTATTTCGTATGAGTTCGTTTTCCATCAATGTGTAATATTTAAACCATTTTTCAAAAATAACTACTATAATTGAAAAAAAAAATTGGAATAGTTTCTCACTTCAAAATAGTTTACAGCGATTAGGTATACTTCTCTAAATCAGTCATTATTAACTCCCCGAAGGAGAAGTTTATGTTTTCATAAAAAAATCCGATACGCTAATTTTATGTTTTCTCGGCGTTTCAAGCCATTTTGATTCAAATGAGACCAAATTTCGAAAAAGTGTTTGTGTGTGTGTGTGAACAGATTTTTTGCCGTAAATCGACGTTTTCTCAAAAATGGCTGGAGCGATTTCAAAAATTTAAATGCCAATCAATGTATCTCGATGAGGACTAGCGTTTATCAATTTTCGATCGACGATCAGCCAAGCCGTTTCTTTGAAATTTGGAAAAGCAGAAAAAAATTTCGTCCACGTTTTAGCCAGCAGTTTTGAATCGTTTTTGAAAATTCAAAAACCGTTCGAAAGATATTGATTGGAAATCGTGCTGATGAGTTTTTGGTAGATATCGGCCGGGCCGTTTTCTTGTAATAAAGTGTTGAGAAAAATTTTCTCGACGATTTTTATTATTATTTTTTTGACGGTAGATACTATAGTCTTTTAGATACTAAAATATTACGGCCCTACGACAACTCGTTTAGCTTTAGAAATTCGTCAAAGTTTGCAAAAATTAGTATCGTTTTTTGGCATTTGTCAAAATTGGACCTCTCATATGTTGAAGTTTGATACTAAACGCTCTGTGTCTACTATGTTTATGTATATATGTTTCTCTTTTGTTTTATGTAAAACAAGTGATTGTTAATAATGTTTGTAATGCATGTGATTAGTTAAAGAATATATAATCAGTCAGTCTGTTTTTATCCTTCTGCATAAATGGTTATATTATTATTCACATAAACTTTTAACATAAATAGTACAGGTTATGGGCCTAGATCCCATGTTTTTAAAGTTTATTGAATAACAGTTTAGTGCTTTTTTAATCATTATGTCGTCGGGATACTTGGTGAATGTACCGAAGTTAAAAGGACGTGAAACATATGACGATTGGTCGTTTGCAGCAGAAAATGTTCTAATCTTAGAAGATTTAGCAGAATGCATTGTAGAGCCAAAGCACGGGGCAGCACGGGAAATTGATGTGATCAAGGATAAAAAGGCGAGAGCAAAATTGATATTAACATTAGATACAAGTTTATATCTTATATATAAAAATGGATCGCAAAATGTGTTGGTAAGCGCATAACTCAACAACGCCTGGACCAATTTGGCCAATTCTTTTTTTAAAATGTTCGTTGAAGTCCAAGGATGGTTCTTACGTCGAGAAAAAATCGAATAAATGCCGGGGAAACCCTAAAAACAGCCCTTTCTTTTTCTCATATAAACGTTTACAGTATATGTGGGAATCGAGTAGGCAACGATATTTGTAGAAAAAACAATAATTTATGTCATGACATTTTGTGTAGTTTTTGATAATCTAATTTTTAATATATTTATATAAACATAGAAATATCTTTCTATTAATTAACAAGCTATATTGGCAGCCAAAAACATTGATGTAAATGAATTAAATTTCAAAATTCAAGAACAAATTACAGGCGAATCAGTTGATTCGGCAACTAACCAAGACGATGTAGTTAATTATCCACCAGAATTTTTAAACTCGCTTAATTTGCCAGGATTGTCACCTCCCAATCTTCAATTAAAGGTTGGATCGGCAATTATAATATTGCGAAATATCGACCAACCGCGCCATTGCAACGGCATAAGATTAGCGATAAAAAATCTACAAAACAAAGTGATGGAAGCAGCTATATTGAAAGGATAATATAAAGCAGAAGATGTTCTCGCACCGTGCATTCCAATGATTCCGACTGATGTGCCATTTTTGTTTAAAC